TCTCCAGGGCACAGATGCATCTGTCTTCTCCCCTGGGTCCTCCGTGGTTGGCACAGTGCCTGGCATATTTTAGGTGCCCATTAATATTTGCTGATTGAATGTGATGGCTTCCTGGAGGAGGTGGCCTTTGATCTGAGGCTTTGAAGACGGGAGAGAATCTGGACAGCTAAAGACAGAGGAGGGGTACCACCCCTCCAGAGGAAGCACGATGGGGTCGTTTTAGAAATGGCTGCTGAGAGGAGGAGGAGGGTTCTGGGTGAGACAGGAGGCAGAGAGAACGGAGAGGAGGCTGGTGGCTGGGACCAAACTTTGGTAATGGGGACAGAAAATGTCCCCAAGGAGGATTCTGGAGGAAAGGGCAAGGCTTGGGAAGTGTGAGTCAGCGTCCAGGGAGGGGCAGGCTGGGGAGGGCGGGAAGACTATCCAGGACTCTGAAGCTCCCAGAGCCCGGGCTGGTGTCAGTTCACCACCTGGAGCTGAGCCTGAAGACAGCACAGGTTTGTGGACAGAGAGGAAAGGGTTGCTGAGGAGCCAGCTCTGGGGGCAGGGGGTAATTCTGCTTTCTCTTCTCCAACTTTCTGGAGCCCCAAGGAGAAGACTGGCCATAGAGACCTTGCAATAACCCATCCTGGCATAAAGGTACCGGACAACAGGTCCCCCACGACACAGGCCTGACCCTTGCTCAGCAGCTGTACCGTGAGCCCTGGAATGGTAAGACCCCTCCTATATTCAGTATTTTTTCTTGGGATAGAACATACATAAAGCTCCTGGCCTTAGGGTTGGCTTGGTAAGCTCTTGCACATGGTCACCAACAGGTCTAAGAAGAGTTCTTTTCCAGCACCTTACAAAGTCTCTCTTGCTCCTTTCCTTCGCTACTCCCCTCCTGACCCTGGTCACCACTATTTTGGTTGCAATCAACATAGATTGTTTTTGCCTGCCCTTGAACTTTATATGAACAGATTCAAATAGCATGTACTGCTTTTGGGGTCTGGCTTCTTTTAGCTTGCATATTCTTTGCCAGATTCATCCATGGTGCTGCACAGACACCGAGATTGTCCTTTCATACACAGAACACAGTATGCTTGTCCCTCATAGCCAGAGGGGATTGGTTCCAAGGCACCATGAAGAAACAAAAATGCTCAAGTCTCTTATATAAAATGAAATAGTATTTATATATAACTTCCCCAAATTCTCCTGTATGTTTTGTTTCTCTATTTATTATTACTGGGGATTGAACCCAGGGGTCTTCTACCACAGAGCTTGATGGTACTGGGGATTGAACCCAGGGCCTTGCGCATGTGAGGCAAACACTCTACCAACTGAGCTCTATCCCCAGGTGCCCCCAGCCCTTTTTAATTCTCATTTTGAGATTGGGTCTCACTAAGTTACTGAGGCTGGCCTTGAGCTTATGATCCTCCTGCCTCCGCCTTCTGGGTAGCTGAGATTAAAGCATGCATCACTGCCACCTAGCATTCTCCTGTTTATTTTCAGTTAGCTCTGGATGAAGAATAATACCCAATACAATGTAAATGCTTTGTAAACAGTTGTTATACTGTATTGTTTAGGGAATTATGATGAGAAATTCTGTACATGTTCAGTTCAGATGGAATTTTTTAATGCAAGAATATTCATAACAGCTTTTTTTTAATAACACACACAAACTGGGGAGAGGGGAACCAACGAATATCTATCAAACAGTTATTCATGGAATACTAACCAGCTTGAAAAAGGAGCAAAGTTTTGATACACATAACAAAATGGATGAACATCAAAATGGTAGTAGTAGCCACACCTGTAATCCCAGCAACTCAGGAGGCTGAGGCAGGAGAATTGCCAATTCAAGGCCAGCCTCAGCAACTGAGCAAGGGCCTGAGCAACTCAATGAGACCCTGTCTCAAAATAAAAAATGTGCTGGAGATATAGCTTAGTGTTAAAAGCACTGGTTCAATCCCCAGTATCAAAAAAAAAAAAAAAAAGTCTGTATAGTAAAGGTTTTATATGTACTGCGTGATCCCATTTATATGGAAAACTATTCTATGGTAGAAAAAAAATCAGAGCATTGTTTGCCAGGGTGAGTGAGGTATGAGGGAACTTTCTAGACTGATGGTAACAGTCTATTCAGATAGAATTTTGATGCAGTTTTTCCCCAAATATTTTTAACCAGATGTTAGCTGAAACTTCAGAAGCAGAACCTGTGGACTGAAGGCCAACTATATTCCATTCAAAAAACAAGACACCATTTGTTGATCTGTTCTCCTGCTGATGAACAGTGGGGTATTTCCAGACCGGTGGAGCTATGACTTTTTTTTTTTTCCCCCTTTGGTGCCGGGGAACCAACGAACCCAGGGGTGCTTAACCACTGAGCCACATCCCCAGTCCTTTTTTATTTTTTATCTTGAGACAGATTCTTGCTAAATTGCCAAGGCTGGCTTCAAATTTGCGATCCTTTCCTCAGCCTCCCAAGTTGCTGGGATTACAGTGTGTGTGGCAATACCTGGCATGAATTTATGTTCTGTGAACGTTCTTGCACAAGTCTTTATATAGACTTAAGAGACTCATTTCTCTAGGGTAAATACCTAGAAGTGCCAATTCTAGGTCATAGCATACATGCATGTGCAGATTTAGTAGACTGACAGTTTTGTGCAGGAGTTGGACCAACTTTCTCTGCCACCAGCAACGTGCTGATGAACTGCAAATTGCTCCAGATCCTTGCCAGTGCTTAGCTTCCCCTCTTCTTTTTTGTGGGGGAGGGGGTACCAGGGATTGAACTCGGGGGCACTCAACCACTGAGCCACATCCCCAGACCTATTTTGTATTTTATTTACAGACAGGGTCTCACTGAGTTGCTTAGCACCTTGCTTTTCTGAGGCTGGCTTTGAAATTGCAATCTTCCTGCCTCAGCCTCCAGAGCCACTGGGATTACATGCATGCACCCCGTGCCAGGCTCCCCTCTTATTCTAAACAAGAACTTCCACTACAAGTCTTCTCTTACCTTCCAGTATTGGATACTGGGTGTGCCTGGCATGGACACACTGAACCCTTACCAGGCCTATTTGAATCTCCCCTCAAGGAGGAATGGACATCTCCTTGACTTAGATGTGACCCCAGGTACTAGGGTGATCATTGTGTGACCATGAACAAAAAATCAGCAAAAGGACCACAGAGATGGAATGAACCTAAGTCCTTGATGACAATGCCAAGTCACTCCAATCATCAGCCAATGAATGGCAGACTACTTATTTTTTAAGTCAATTAATTTAGGGTAAAGAACCTAAAGGATACAGTCCACAAACAAAATGCTCTTCATCCCAGAACCCAATGGTGTATTCCTGTCTTCCACACTTCTCAACCCCACTGAACGCTCCTTCCTTCTTAAACCTTTCTTTCTGGGACCCATTATTACCTGGTTCTTCTGCTTCTCAGTCTCCTTTCCTGGCTGCTCCTCCTCTGCCCACTTTTCTATCTACCTTCCCTCCCTTGGGGTCTCACCAGCACCATGAAGGGTGTGCTGAGGATCTTCAGCCACCCTCCTGAGCTCCAGCCTCAAAGAAAACTGCCTGTTTCCTTATCCACCTAAGGGTTGCTCAGGCACTTCAAATTCACGTCCTCAAAGCCAAACTTCTGATCTCCCCCCTCAGTCTGTCTCTAGCCAAGGACTCTTTCATCCCTTCATGTACTCAAGACCAAAGCCTAGGTGTTACTACGGGTTCCCCAGGCCCCCAAGAACTGATCTTACATTCTTTCCCTCTCTGGCTCCCCAGGCCAACCCCACTGTCTGGTCACCATTACTGTGTCTGGAAAGCTACAAGGGACTCCCCACACCCACTCCCCTTGTCTTCTGTGCCATGCAGCCGAGGTGGCCGTTTGGAAACCCAGATTTGATATCATTCCATTGATGAAAATGGCTTTTTGTTCCTCACAAGATAAAATGCAAATCCATTGTGTGGCACTACCTGCCTTACTCCTTACACTCCCTGTGTTCCTTCCTTCCCACCTTCGTGTCTGGGACAAGTTGTTCCTTCTGTCTAGAAAAATTTCCCTTTCTCTCTTGGCCGGCACAACTCCTGATCATTCTTGGTCTCTTGGCTTAAATGCCATCTTCCCAAGGAGGCTCTGTCTTCATCCCCCCCACCCTACATTAGGACCCTATTCACTTTCACAACACTCTACTTTTCCTCACATCACTTCCCCTGGTGTATAATTATGTACTGATTTGCTTAAACTTATCGGTATATAGTGATTATTTGATAACTGTCTTTCCTCCCCCACGCCCGCCCCCAACACTCTCACCCATTAGACTGGCAGCACACAGAGGTCAGGCCCAGAGCCCTGGTACTCTCTACCTCTTTGCCTTTAACACTGCGCTTGCACATAGTAGGCACTCAGGAATGTGCCTAATCAGCTAATATATGAACACACTGACATAAAAACCCTGAGGCAGGCATTTCATCGACTTGAGGAAGCTGGGCGTGGGGGTGGGCGGGTGGCTCGCCTGCCCAAAGTCCAGGGCGAGGGGAGGAGCAGGCTCCAAGTTCTGAGCGGGGGTCTCTACCCTTGTGGAAAGGCAGGCGCGGGGCCGGACTGTGAGCCTGGAGGCACACACACTCCCGACTGTGAGCCCGGAGTCCACGGCTGCAGGAGCAAACCCGCCACGACACGGCTCGCCTGGAGAACTAAGCCACGCCCGCTCGACTCTCAAGGAGTGAAGATCACAATCTGCTGCATATGCATGAAGGGACCACGGGCCCGTGATTTGGGGCTCCCCGGCCTTCGCCTGATTAAAAATTCTTCCGTCCTGAAGAACCCGGCACCCCATAATTTCTTAAAAGTACATAGGAGTCCTTCAAAGCGTTGTCTGTGGCTGAAATTGGGGGAGGTCCCGGCGAAGGTGATCTCATGTGGGGCCATAGGATCAGGCGTCCGCCGTGGGGAGCTCGATCCCGCGAGGGGTCCTCGTCCGGCTCGACTAGAAGACGAAGGGGGCGTCTCCCCAGCTTCTGCGGCGTTGGTGGAGAGCTGAGGTGGAGGCAGGCTGCGGCAGCTACGGCGACGGTGGCGGCGGCGGCGGCGCCATGGCAGGGCTCGCAGGTACCGTGGCGTCAGCCCGCGGGGAGCGAAATGAGAGGCCCTCCTTGCGGCCGCGCCGCCATGTTGTCCCCTCGGGGTCACCTTAGGCGTCGCTGGGTCCCTCATTGGGTTTTTTTTCCGCGTGCCCGGGGGTGGGGGCACCCCTGTCCGGCGTCGCGTGGTTGCCCTGCTTCGCTCCGGCCTGGGCCTGGCGGGTCCCTTCCCGGCCCGAGGGTGGGTCAGCGGGCTCCTGGGTTCTGGCTCGGGCCTCCAAGGTCAGCGCCCTCCCGGGATGGGCCAGGTAGGACTGGGGAGAGCGACCACTACCTCTTCGCCCTGGGACCCAGGCAGGGGGCCAACTTGAGGGGGGCCTGTCACTCTTTCCCCGCCACTTCAGTTGCCTTTTTTTTTTTTTTTTTTTTTTTTTAAATCAGAAGGGGCATGGGGTGGGCGAGGCCCCCGGGTTCCGCTTTGGTGTCGGGTGGTAGGTGGACGCTTTGCTTCGGGTCGCGGGCGCTTCTCATCCCCTCTAACTTCACATCAAGTCTGGACGTTCGTTCCCTTTCTTCCAGTGCATGGGGAGTGGCCCTCAAGGGCAGCTGAAGGAACGGAATGCCTGGCACACTCCTGGCCTGGAAAGGAAGAATGGGGGGATGGGGACCGTTGCTTTCCCTTCCTCCTTCCAGACCGGCTTCAGTTTCCTTCCAGGCCTTTTCCATAATAAACGCTGGGAAACTGGGGTCTGCCCTAGGAAAGAAACTGCCTTTCTGTTTATAGGTTCGGATCGTCTTTTGTCCCTTTCAGGGAACTGGTGTGTTGGGGACGGCCTCTCCGCCCTGCCTGACACGGTCCAGCCATCCTGTCAGCCTTCTGGACGGCAACACCAAAGCCAGGACCAAAAAAAAAAAGTTTCCGATTCAGTGCTACCGCCAAGTGTTCGATCTTATTTGTTTTAAATCAGAGATTAATTGACGGCAAGCAGATCTCTTAGAAGGCTCAGTTGCTGGAAACCTGTTCATTTTCCAGTGACTAGATCAATTCTGTATCTGAAGTTGGTCTTCTTAGAATTGCTGCCAAAATAGTGAAAGCTTTTTTTTTTTTTCCCCTTCTGTAATATGTTTTTTCAAAGAGAAATCCGGCTTAGGCTGTCCTTTTTTGTTGTTGTTTGTTTTTGTTCTCCTGTCTTTGACATACATGCATTCCATTTCAGACCTATCACTGTGTGATATACCAAAGGCCATGTGTTGCCTGCCACTCTGACTTCCTGCTCTCAGAATACTCAGGAATCTGGATCCTGTAGGAGGGGAAGTGGGGAGAATAAAGGGGATCATTCTCAGAAGAGATAGTAACGGGTCTCAGGGGCATATGGAGAAAGAGGTCACCCCAGAAAAAGAGACTGTTTTTATACTAGTGTGTGCACATATGTGTACACACATGTAAATCTCTGAAGGGAATTAAATGCATCTTCAGACTCTCCCCCTGGGGTGTTTGTTTCTGAGGAGAAACAAGTTTGAAAATAGAATCTAGTAAATGGCTTACAACACAATTGCTCCCCCATCCAGCCATGTGTACTAAACTGTTGCTGGTTCTATAGTTGAAACTCAAGAAACTTGTCCCTTCTCTAGCCTTCCCCCCATAACAACTATTCCTTCCTTCAGTCACAACTCAGGTGCTTCAAAGATAGAGGTATCAAGTGTCACATAGCACCCACACTCTTGAAGTTTTGGTACCATCCCCCAGCCTGTCCCAACTTCACCTTGTTGGTCTAAGAAAACTTGACATCCTTTTCAGGTATTCGACCCAAGGTGTGGGACAATAACCTGTTGCTGGCGTCCCACGAAGCCATTCCAGTCTCCTCACAATTCTCTTTTCTTGGCCTTATAGGGACAAAGTTGGGAGGTGGGGGGTTAGGGAGGAATGGTTTAGGGAAAGGGGACATTTAGCTTTATGTACTCAGGGCTTTGCAATAAAACCAAATATCCTTTTGCTCTGTGAGAATAAAAATTTTTTATGATATAGCTTGTGAAAAACATTTTATAAACAAGATGTGTTTGGATCAGACTTCTAGTCATTGCATGGGGATGGAAAGTCAATGCATTCCTTTTGTCCTCTAATTGGTTAAATTTGCTGGTTAAGTTTGAGAGTGGGGACGAAAGGGATGCAGCCCGCCAAGGCAGTCCTTGCCCACCCAGAATCTATCATCTTAGTACATACACTCCGAGCCCTGCTGAAGGATGGATGGAGGAAAGGGCTTTGCCAAGATCATCTGGAAAGCCCTGAGGTGACCGGCAGTACCCTGCCTTCTGAAGGGGAGGAGCACAGGAAATGCTATGTCCAGAGTTGACGGGCCCTTCCATACTGCTTTGGATTCTTTCTGTGAACTCAGCTGTTGTCTAACTTGAACTGAGGTTAGAGCATCTGGGGCAGTGGGGCAGTAGCACACCCCGAAGGCTGTGAGGGAAGGGTCAGCCTTCATTGAGAACACATGTTGAAATATGTGCCTGGTTCCTTGGGTTTAGTGTGAAAAAACCACAGAAGCTCCTTGTCTTGAGGCCGGTTAAAATATAGGCTTCAGGAGGGAGGAGGTGTGGGCCTTGCCTGCTAAAGAGTCACCCTTGGATAAGAGGAGACCTGCTTTACCTTCAGGTCATGGTAGTGGATATAACCACCCAGTTAAGGAAGATAGAGTCTATCATTGCCATCCCACCCGAGTCCCGATTGCTGCTTTGGCAGAATGTTTCTAATGTATGTGGGTCGACAGGATCTTAGAGGAGCTCTTCCAGAGGGGAACTAAAGATAAGGGGTGAGAGTGACCTGGCTGGGTGCCCTAGGCTGATTTAATTGATGGCTAAGCCAAGACCAGACCAAGATCCCACACAGTTCTCTGATGCTGAGTGAAGTTATAGGGTCTTCAGAGATGCTGGTGATTGGACTGAGGAATATAAGAGGCTTGTTTAGGAAAGGGAAACATCAGATTCAAGAGGCCAAGGTGCTTTGTGCTCCAGCATGTTTGTAACAACTGTGTGACTAAGGGATTTGAGGAAGTGGCAGAAGAGATTTATGGCCTTCCAACTCCCTCCCTTGGTGCTGACCCAGGAACAGGTGTGTAGTGACAGGAATGGATAAAACTAGAGATGAGGCTGAACAGGTGGTGGGGCCACTTGGTGAGGCAGTCAGCTGACCAACTGAGTCAGTAAAAGGAGTCCTGACTCGCTGAAGAGTGAGGGGAGCAGAGCAGCCAGCCCACCCATCCTGGTTGATGGCAGGGAAGAGTCCAGGGCCAGGGACCTGGTAAGCAACCTTTAGGGATAGAGAGGCCAATGCTGGGGGGCGGGGGGGGGAGCTGGGAACCCGGCAATGGGGAGAGAGCAGGGGAGAGGTTTCTGGAGTGGGGTTGGAGGTGGGGAGACCCTAGGGAATATCAAAGTTAGGATGGATGGACTTGGAGCATTAAGCTGGGGGAAGGAGGCCCCATACCGCACCTCCTATCCCATCCTCATTGCCTAAGCCAGGGTCCACCCTGCCCAGTTCCCACCCTGCCCAATGCTTATTTCCTTGGGGCCCCTGAATAGAGAGTGGAGTGTAGCTTTGTGTCTGAAATCATCCCCTTGGGCCTCAGTACCCCATTTTGAGTGCTACTCCCACTTTTTCCCCCTTCTCCCAAAGTGATATCCTGTGGTGAGGCTCTTATTCCAGCACCGCAGGTGAAGGCTCCCACCCCTCTGGGGAGGGGGAAGTGGTCCCTTATTCTGGGATCACAAGTAAAGATGTCAACTTTCCTCTTTGGGGAGGGGCATAGTCCTTTATCTCAGGACAGTGGGCCCACACCACAGTGGGCACATTGGCCCAGCCTTAGCAAAGTGTGTACCCCCGCAAAATAAGCCACAAGAGACATCTTTTGGTGCGCCTCCACCAACCCGCAGGGTCCTAGGACACTGTGCGAGTCGGGGGAGGTACTGTTTTTTTTATTTTTTGTAGAGGCGGTCCCTGTCCTCCAGGAGCTTACAATCTAGCTGGGGAGACACAACTAACGCACACTTAAACAATCAGTACAATTAGCGATTACCACAATATTGACCACAACTGCGTGAGACCTGGGAAAGCAAGATCAGTGAGGGGCAGGGGGCTCGGAGAAGACGTTTTGTACAAAGATGGGATTCTTTTATTGGTTGTATAAGTCCAAATTAAGTGACACATTTTGTGGGGATAGGATGGGCTTGGGAGTCAGCGAGGAGAAAAGAGGAATGAAGGGAGCAGAGGCAGCAGGGCTGGAATGCTGGCGCGCACACTGTAGGCAAGGGACGGTGAGAGGGCCCCACTCTGTTTCTTAACCCCCCTCCTTCGCTGCCCATGCCCTCCAGTCCCGCCACTCGCAACACAGTTGGCGCCTCCTCTGCTGCATTGAGATTCAGGGCTTCAGCTGGTGCTGTTGGAATGTCCATTTTGCTGGCTGGTGTGGTGTTTGGATCTCCTTGGTGGGGCCTGTTGGCATGGCTGCAGCTCCGGGGCTTGGATAGTGCTGTCCCGACTTGGTCCAGATCAGAATGTGATGCCTACACCCAGATCTCGGGGGTCTGCTCCCCCCACCCCTCTCAATCCCCACCCCACCTGCAGAGGGGCAGGTGCAAAGGGGTTGGGAAGGGATCTAGTATTGTCGAAATTGTCGGTGCTGCTTCTCCGGGGGCCTACCAGCCCCTCACTGACCTTGGCAAGTGCTCCTCTGGCGAGGGAGCACAGGGGACCCCCCATTCCTGCGCGGCGCTGGCTCCCATGCTGGTTGAGCTGCACAGGAGCACCTGATGATACGGCCGCCCAGGGCTGGGAGCTGCGGCCTCAGTTGGGGGCTCGCTGCCGGCGCTCCCCCAGCACCTGCCGCCCGGTCCGGGACACCGTGTACGCCAGCTTCTGCAGGGAGTACCTGAACACCTGCGGTGAGAGACCCAGGATCCACCCTTAATAGAGGGCATCCGCAGTGTGTCCGGTGCTGCCGTGCCCACCCGCGCCCCACCCCCTGCCCCGCCCGCCTGCCCAGCATAGGCTGGAGAGGCGGGCGCGGGCGCAGCTTGTCCACGAGTCAGGGCAGCTGGAGCTTTTCCAACTGTGCTGAGAGCTGCATGGCGGCAAGCTGATTGGACCCACAACTTAGGTATACCTCACTTCTCGCAATGGGCTGTGTCCCTGGAGGATTTCGAAAAGCGAATCCTACCCAGTAAATGCAGCATTCCAGGAACACCTTGAAGGAAATATGCGATTCCTTTGGCAAAAGATTCCTTTAGCAGGGAATTCTTCCTGCAAAGGGAGCTTTTCGGGTAAATGATTTTATAGGCAAAGCGCTTTTTTTTTCCGATTTATTTTATGCAAAGCACTTTTGCCTTTTTTTTTTTTTTCAACAAAGTGATTTGTCCTTTTTTGGAAGCACTTTTTTCCCCTTCCATTTTTTTCTGCGAAGGGCTTTTTCCTCTAATTGTTTTATTCAAAGTGTTTTTGTCCGATTCATTTGTTTTTTCTGTTAGCTCCTTTGTCTGATTTTTTTTTTCTGCAATGCGCTTTTTATCTAATGCTTTTTTCCTACCAAATGCTTTTGAACGATTTTTTTTTCCTGCAATGCGCGTTTTCTTCTATTTTTCCCTTTAATTACTTTTTCTCTCTTTTGGTGTTTCCTTTTGTGAAGTGATTTTTTTTTTCCCCTGAGAAGTACCTTTTTCTAACTTGGTTTTTGTCCCAACCCTGCAAGCGCAAATATATATATGTGCATATATATATATATATATATATATGTGTGTGTGTGTGTGTGTGTGTGTGTGTATTTTTTAAAGAAAATTTCCCCGCAATGCGCAATTTTTTTAAGACGGAATTTTTTTGCTAGGCGAGCGATAAAGTCTTGAAACATACAAGCGCCCCGCCTCCCTCCTCGGGTCGAGTCTGGGTGTAGCGGGTTTCTCTTACCACATAGGTCTCTAAAAGCCTCAGCGATCGTCCGCCTCGCCCGAGTCTTTGTTCCCAGCTGGGCGCGGGCGCACTGGGAAGGGTCTGCTCGAGGAGGTGGGCGCAGGGAACCCGCGAGGGGCGCGCGGTGCCGCAGCGGCACTTGGGCGGACAGGGATCGCGGCAGTCGGGATAGGATGGGTTCGGGAGGCGGCAATCGCGACGCAGGGTTTGTGGGATCGGGATGCGCGCACCAGGAGCCCTCTTCGACCTGGAGTTCCCAAACGCTTACCTGCAGCAGCACGCGGAAGATGTACCAACCGATGATGAGCAGTTCAGCCGAGGCCGCTGCCACTGCCGCCATGGTTCCGAGAGTCCCTGGAAGGTAGTCGAGAGAGCAAGGGTTCGCCGAGATCTTCTGGTCTCTCGGAGTCCGCTGTTGGGCGTACTGCCGCAGCGGCCGCGGCCGTGCCTTAAGTACCCTCCCGCCACCTAACTGCGCATGCGCACTCGGGGGGGGGGGCTGTCCAAGAGGAGGGGTGGCGGGGGGCGCTCTTCATTCGCCAAGCGAGAAAAAAATAATCCATCTGCTCTTTTCACACTGACCCCCGCCTCCTGAGTCCCATCTTAGCCCCCTTCCAGAAGATTCCGCCATGCCCGCTTTTGAATTTCGGTGTAAAATGGAGGGGCGTCACGACTCTGGGTAGAGTATAGAGGGCAAGGGTAGGGAATGCAAGCCTCCTGTTGTGGCGCCCCTCTCTCTAAGCTCTGGCCTGTAAATTTGAGCCCAATGTCCAGTGCTGTGCCAGAACGTTCCTCCCGCACAGGTGGAAAACCTAAGTTATGGGAGGGGTCATCAGCCCGGTAGAGCAAAAAAAAGATACTCCTTCCAGGAGTCATGGCATCGGAGGCCCCTGCTCAGCACTCTCCTAATATACAATGTCCTCTGCTTCATTGGAGTCCCTGAGCAAGAACCCTTCGGTGATTCTTAACATCCCGCTTTTTATGGTAGCGAGAAGATCGGTATCTGCAGCAGTGGCGGTGGCTACTGTAGGGACCCGGGCCAGGACACTGCACTCTTACCGCAAAAGATATAGTATCTACTCTGTGGGAGGGAAGAAAGAAGGATTGGCGCCCTTTGTGTGCGCGAAAGGAATGAGCTCTACCGAGAAGGGGTCGGAATGTGTTCGGAAGAGTTTTCTGCAGGACAGATCATTTCAATCTCTGCCTTCCGCTCCCCTCCCCCAGATCCTGGTAGGTCTGCCTCAGCTTGCTTGGGTCTTTGTATCCCTTGTTCCACAGGGCTGGAGCACTGAGCCGGATTTCTCTACAGCCGCCAAGGCTTGGGCTACCGTAGCTGGGTAGCTCCGTTTCATAGCGAAGCGAGTCCCTCCCTGCGCTTCCCTAGTTGAGCGTGGGTTTTGCGGGCCCGTCTCAGAGCACCAGCCTGGTGGTTCCCTCCACGGAATGTTGGATTTGTACATGGGAAGACCAAAACCGGGTGTGCAGCGGGGCCCAGCGCCTGGTTGGCCTGCGGAAAGCACCTCTCTCCAACAAGCTACCTGGCATGAAGACTAACTGGCACTTACCCCTACATGGATAGGAAATTAATTTTGATTAAAAGCTCATGGAGGTCAGGTTCTGTACAATGCCAGCAGCAGATGGAGGCGTAATGATCCAAGGGAGTTCAGTTTGGTTGAAGTAGCATAGTGATTCTTTTCCCTACATCGACTTTCGAAGAAGTTGTTTGGTTTTGGCAAAATGACACTGGACTGTTTGAAAAAAACAAGACCAGCCCAGGCTGCCATCTTAAAATATTTGGTGCCCAGCCACTGCTGTAGCTTCCCAGCCCAGAGCTTGCAAGGATCCATTGCCCACCCTCATACTGGTCCTGCAGTATGCTGCTGACTGCTTTAACTCACCACTCACTGGTTGCTCCAGCTCAGCATCTGTGCTGGGAGAGAGACTAGCTACAGAACCCTTCTTTACCACATGGGGGCACAGTATGGAACCCATGGAGGTCCTGTGGCAACCACAGGGCGGTATTGTGAGGTCTGGGCCCTCTGAGGACAGGCCGCAGCCCCAGGAGGCGATACATGATCTCTGCCGGGCAGGACCCAGGCAAAGCCAGTCCACTGTGCAGACCGTGCCAGAGCCCTCTGGGGGACCCCTCCCCAGTGGAAACCCCAGGGAGACACCTCAGGAGGTTTCCTGAACTGGTGGCTTGGAGAGGAGTAGAACTTGCTCGGGTGGGCGGGGAGGAAAGGGCATTCACATTTAACTGTTGTTAACCATGATCCATTTTCCCAAATAAGTATACATTCTGTTCCTGTTTTTTTTTTTTTTTTTTTGTCTGTCTGTCTGTTCTTTGTCTGTTTGTCTGTTGTGTTGACTTTTCTCTTCAGGATCCCTGCTGCCTTGGTGATCCCGGGCTGACAGCCAGAGAGCACAGCGGCTCAGCTCCTGGAGAGAGGGTTGAAGAAAGCGGAGGGCAGCCGCCTGCGCCCGCTGGCTCCCATTAGGTCGGTTCCTGCAGCGGTGCCCGGCAGCCTTGGCGAAGGCCCTGCCCAGCAGAGATCATGTATTGCCTCCAGTGGCTGCTGCCCGTCCTCCTCATCCCCAAGCCCCTCAACCCCGCCCTGTGGTTCAGCCACTCCATGTTCATGGGCTTCTACCTGCTCAGCTTCCTCCTGGAGCGGAAGCCTTGCACAATTTGTGCCTTGGTTTTCCTGGCAGCTCTGTTCCTCATCTGCTATAGCTGCTGGGGAAACTGTTTCCTGTACCACTGCTCGGATTCCCCGCTTCCAGAATCAGCACACGACCCTGGTGTTGTGGGCACCTAACAGCTGCCCTGTTAGCTTTCTACGGAAGCAGAAGACGGGAGGGGAGGCATTGACATAGGTCATAAAGCATTGGAGTTTCAAATCCCGCAGCCCCGCGGGTGCCACATTCCTGACGGCGCCTTTTTGGCCTGTGATGTTTTATCCTTATAATGTGAATAATGGCACTGACCTGTGCTTTTATTGTAGAGTCCTATAGTCATGGGTGGTCTTGTGATTGTGTGTGTTCTGTCCCCATCTGGGTCCCGGCTGGCAGGATGGCCACTCCCCTCGCCTCATTACAGCGAGGAGTCTACATCCATCCTAGTCAACTGCCCTGGGCAGATAAAATGCCAGTCTCCTTGTCACCTCTGTGACCCCTCCTTGTCAGGGTCTCTCTCCTTCCCAGAATGTTACTGACACCTCAGTCCTTCTCCTGTTTTCCCTTTAGTTCTCTTCTACCCTTTCCTTTTTTTGGGAGCACCTGTTCAAAACAGGGCTCATTTTTGCACTTATCTCGAATTTGAAGAGATTGCTGATGCCCGAGAGCCTCGCTTTTTCATCCTCCTTCCCCTTTTCAGCAGGCTAGACAGAAACATGTCTTGACTGTTCATTGTCCACAAACCTCCAGTGTTTCCTCTGCTTCATTTTTAAGAGAGAAGCAACAGATAGAGGTTGTTCTTTCACCTGAGTGTCTGGGCTCCGGCTCCCCAGCCCAGCCTCGCTTCCTTTGCCCTTCCTTCCTGCCTTTCTCAGCATCCTGAGAGGGGGCCTCCTGTGTCTCCTGTGCATGCTCTGCAGGATGGAGGTATGGTGTGTTTGTGTAGAGCTAGTGGTCCCCTGCTGAGTGAATGGGAACATTCTTTTGTGTTTCATAGCAGCCGTGATCCCCTTGATAGGTGTTTGGATATTTTTCAGTGTGCCCTGTGTGTGTGTGTGTGTGTGTGTGTGTGTGTGTATGTATGTGCAAATGTGTGTATTCCTTTTAAAGAAGCTTTACCGAACGTGTTCTGATTTTGAGGTTTAGCAGTAGCTAGCTGTATGTAGTAGGTACCGCTGCAGTTTTTATTTAGCATGGGGATTGCAGAGTGACCAGCACACTGGACTCCAAGGTGATTCATACAAGACACAGGGGAGCAGTGGCCATCGTCCTCCCGCCAGGAGCTTCTTCGTTCCTGCGCAAGTAGACTGTACGTTATGAAGAACACACAGGAAGACTTTGTGACTGTCACTTGCTTTTTTCTTTCTCTGCACTTCAGTAACAAGTGTTGGCAAACGAGACTTTCTCCTGGCCCCTGCCCACTGGGGATCAGCATGGTTGTCCTTCGAGTCGGAACCATTCCTCTCTCTTGCCTGAGGAGGGAGGGAAGCAGGCCAGGCAGAGGACAGAACTGGAGGCAGTCCATCTAGGGAATGGGACTGTGAGGCCACACTTGTGAAACATTTGGACTGCTGTTGTAGAGCTTTTATTTCTGGTGTGTTCGTTGCACAGCTGTTTGAAATGTTTAATAAAGCTTTATAAACTTTACTTTGTGGTTTAATGTGGCTGCAGTCCATTTGGGCCATGGTGTTGGATTTCTGAGTTGGTGGGGGGCAGGGGGAAACACCGAGGGGCTGAGTCCTTGGCGCCAGAGTACCTTAGCCTGAAAATTTGATCTGCTCTCTGGAGAGCAGATGGTGGAGCTGGGGGATGGGGAGCAGGGGCAGGCCAGGCGATGAACAGGAGGGAGTCTGAAAGTTTTCAGAGATGAGACATTTGTGTTTCTCAGCTCCCATGGCTTCCCGCCTGAAATTGTTTCCCTCCATAGGAGATTTGAGTAACTGATCCCTTGACAAACAACTTAAGACAGCTGGAGCTCTAATCATCAAGGATTTTTATGGTGCTGCTTTTGAAGTAAAAATAAAGTGAAACCCCTCATGGCATCTCAAGTGGAAAAATAAATAAGACTGGCGGTCCAACAAGCAGACTTAAGGTGGTGGCTAGAAGCAGGAAAGTGGTGCGGTTCCATGTTGGGGATGTGTACAGACTCCCATTGGCCACCGACCTTGAGACAGAGCAGGGAAGTTTGTCAGGGCCCTGAGCTGGACATCCACTCCTGACTCTATTCTTACTCCCAGGATCATAGGAGTGCTGCCTGCTCAAGGCATAAGGCTCTCACAAGGAATTACTGAGATAAGAATTGTGGAAGGGTTTTGGTAACTTCCTAGAAGTTACCTTTCTTACTTGGACTGTTAATTTATTGCTATAAAGTTGTCTGCAGTTTTCTCCTGCTCTTTTAAGTCCCCCCCCCCATTGTTACTTTATTCCTTTTTTCATTCCTAGCATTGCTTATCCAGGCTTTCCCTTGATCAAAACTTACCAAAAATTTATCTGTTTTAGAGGTATTTTCAAAGAACCAAAATTTTAACCATCATATATGTTGGGTATTTTTCCTACCTGACTCATTGGTTCTTTTATCTATAAATTTTTTCTTTTCTGGGTTTCTGAATATATTTTGTGGTTCTGTAGTCATGCAAGCTGAGGATTCATATATACAGAAAGGACGGTTTGTTCAACAAACATTGAGACCTTGTACTAGGCTTGCTGGGGATTTCAGGGGCAAGACCCAGGCCTGGCTCTCCAAGACCTCATGATTCTAGCCTGGTGGGAAGACTTAACAAAATAGACAATTGCAAATTCCAAAAACAAAACAAACAAACGAAGGCTTTTGTGTCCCTACTCTCCTGTGGAGGCACCTGGGTGATAAATGAAGCCAAGATTATTGCTTATTTTGCTCTCCCTCAGAAAGCAGCTTTCTTTTTTAGGTCAAGCCCACTTAAGAGTCACAAATAGGCTTCCCTCTGAAAGACTTGTGGTCCTTTCCAATAGGGTGCCTGCCTCCCACCTCTCCCACAGTGCCTGCCAAATCAGCATCCTGTCTGCCCAACAGTGCTTCTCACCTTGCCCAGTACCCCATCCTGGAGGACATGGTCCATGAGGGATCTTCCTGAAATGCCTTTGAGGAAGGGGCACCAGGCCTTAGAAAAACCACACTTTATAGCTGTTTGACACTGTAGTTCCTGGGACAGATGATTGCTCACAAGTTTCCTAGAAACCATGAGACACTGTAAGACCTAGGCTTGGACTTCTTTAGGAAGTCTCTTCCCTGCCCTGGGCCTCAGTTTCCTTAGAGATACAATTTGGTCTGTGGAACAAAGACAGTTTTCTCAGCCCTGATATCCTGGATCCAGGATCTTAGGGTCCTCCTGGACCTACTTGAGGAAGGTGGCTAAGCTCTAAGCAGGTGGCAGGGGACCTTGGGGATAACCTGTATGTGCTTTGTGCATTAGTCAACATACCCCTTAAACCTAAAGACTCCCTCTATCAGGAAGCTTTCCTGGATTTTTCCCTGGAGATTGCTTGCCTAGAGCACTTGGCTCAGGCTTCTGCTGGTGATAAGCAGACTTACTTTTCCTTAATGACTAGATTCCTGGCATGGCCCTTGAGGGCTCCTCCTGCCTCAAAAGGAGGCCTGCATTTTTATTTATCCAGCTGCTATTTGTCAGAATCCCAGGCATGAAGAGGGCTTGGGGCTACAGGGTGGACAGTCCCTACCATTAGGGAGTCTTCCAGGAAAATGGGAGAGGGAATGACATTGAGCAAATAATCTGAGAGGTACACAACTGTGGACTGTGGCAGGTGCTAGAAGAGAGTCTCAGAAGGGATCTGATGCAGACCTGAGAGGATTGACATTCAGACTGAGATCTGAAGATCAAGTGTAAATGTTTGAGCAGTGAAGTAATAAATGAGATGTTATTTCTTACCATCTAATCAAGCATCTCTGTGCTTGCAGATAAAGAGACTGGGCTGAGAGTAAAATTAAGGACCACCAGTATCTGGCTGCCCTAGAATCATAACCCAAAAGGCTTTTTGGGCAAAAGAGGTCAGTCCATTTAAAGTTAGAGTACTAACTGATGGGAGATCTTAAAGGGGGGTTGGGGGGCTAAGGCTGAATTGCTGGTGGCAGGCCCCAAAACTCAGCCCTGGGGACTCTTCAATTTTCAGCTGACTGGGAACTATCACAGGAAACAATCACAAACAGGGATCTGAAGGAAGCTGGAAGGTGACACAATCAAACAGCATTTAAGGTGGGACACTCCAGCTGGGCACAGTGCAGCCTTTCAACAGGGAAAGTAGCAGAGCTGTCGGCTGAGAAGGCCACTGACCAGACTGGCCAGACCACTGCGAATGAGAAAAAGTGGATGGAAGGAGCATCCATGTGTGAGGAGGGAGGAGGCAATGAAAGAGGACAGCAGGAAAGCCAACTCCCACTGAATAGCGGCAGGAAAGGAGGCCAGAGAAGGTTGTCACCTGTGTCCAGTCAGTTGGCACAACCAGAACCTAGTCCCCTGGCACCCGGCAAAGCTCACAACCCACCCCACCAAAACAGGTAAAAAGGTCATTGTTCTGAAAAGAGGAGAGGGCAAGGAAGTGTTCTTGGCAACTGTTGGAAGATTAACCTGCCTCAAACCAGCAACTGTCCTTCCCCAGTGTCTTCCCGAAAGCCCAAGGGAAAACAGAATTGGGAAGCATGACATATGTTGAGAGAAACTTCAGTTGTCTATTGAGTTGTCTGTCCAGTGAGGGAAGGCTGGCCAAGCAGCAGCGGAAGACTTCAGACAGAAACCTTTCTTCCTTTGGGATAATGAAAAAGGGACTCCAACATTGGGTAGAGGGTAGACTTGGAGGACCAAAGAACCCTAGTATGAGACTTCAGAGATCCCCATGCCTTATGCCCTGCCTTTGTGACCATACCTCCCTTAGCTTGTTTTGTGGCTTGTAAAGTGGAGACCACAGGACCAACCTCAGCATCTGCCTCAAGGCGAAGTGCTGTTCCCTCTGTTCTGTGACCCCCCTGCCACCTTACTGTGCTCTGCTTCAGAATAGGACTGATTCTCTGAGTTTCCTGCTCATTTATTCATGTAAGGAGCATTGATCAGGCTTTTTGCCAAGCTCTGAGACATGAATGCAAAACAAGACCACACTGTCCTGGTGGAGCTTGGAGCTTCAGGGCAGGAGGCAGTCTTACAGGCAAGTGGTTACAGCACCTGCCGTCAGGGCTTGAGTGGAGTCAGAGAGGGAGGTTATTTGGGAGACCATTTGTCAGTAACTAGGTATAAAATCTCTCAATTATGTTTTTTTAAAATATTTTTTAAGTTGTAGATGGACACAATACCTTTATTTTATTTATTTTTATGTGGTGCTAAGGATCAAACACAGTGCCTCACACATGCTGGGTGAATGCTTACCACTGAGCCACAACCCAAACCCCATGAATGATATTTTACATTCTCTGGAAGGACAGTATCCTATAGAGGAAGGAAAGACCAAGGCGTAGATGTTTTCTGAGAGACCAAAGTCTGGGGTTCAAGCCCTAGCACAGCAGCCAGCCTGCTCAGTGACCCTCCATGGAGCTCCCTCTCTTAGAGAGTGATCTCTGCCTGTTTAAGAGTATTTCATCATGTAAGGATTGAACATGACCCTTCCCCAAAAAACTAATCCTCTGCGTGGTTCTGGCCTTTTACCTCTTTTCCTGGGCAGGTTGTGATAGCCTACACTTAGACAGCTCACCATCTCTGCCAAAGCTAAACCCCTGACAGTCCCCTGCCCCACACTGGTGTGGCAACCTCCGAGGAGGGGGCAGAGAGGCAGGTGATAAGACCCTGGGCTTGATTCCCACCCACTTCCCATGTGACTTTGTTCTCCTCTATTCATTCTCTAGACCTGTTTCCCCTTTTATAAGTCAAAGAGAGGACCAGACCAGGAAGTCTTAAAGTTTCCAAAGCCATCTTCTGTGAAGCATTGGTAACCTCTATCTTTGCTACTTCAGTCTTAGAGATTATGTTTGAAAAAATGTGTATTAAGACAATCAAGTATTTAATCAAAGCATTTTTCATTGAAGAATAAACTTTTTTAAGTTTCTAGCTATAGTACTGTCGAGAATGTTAGCTTACAACCATGGCAGACACTGAAAAGGTCTATGAGGAAGGAAAACAAAGTCCTGCACTGGTTCCCTGTTGCCCGTGGTCCCTGCTCCTTAGCTTGGTCCTTAAGGCCCTGCACAGCCCTTAGAGATAGGGCTTTTAGTCTTTGTCCTTTGACTAGGCACAGAAGCTGCCTGACCAGGCCTGGCATGGTACCTGTTGGTTGGCCAGTCCCATGGGTAGATAGATGGATCCCCCCCAAATCTATTGCCAGATTCCCTAAAGAATGGGTGGCCTGATCATTCTTTTTTTTTTAATTATTATCTTTTTAAAAAAAAATAGAGAATTTTTTTTAATATTTATTTTTCAGTTTTTGGTGGACACATCTTTATTTTATTGTGTGGTGCTGAGGATCAAACCCAGCGCCCCGTGCATGCCAGGCGAGCGCGTTACCGCTTGAGCCACATCCCCAGCCCCGGCTGATCATTCTTAAATGGAAGGGAATTGCCTCCCAAGTCTCCTTTTGGCAACTCTGAAGTGACAGAGATTATTTTTCAGCCTCCA